AACGTTAACAGACAGAGCAAGATCCAGCCACTTACAGAGAGACTGAACATGTTGGTATTTTCAAGACGAAACAAAAACAGCTAAAACGCCAGTAATTTTGCAAAGTAAGATGATCTTAATTTAAGAGTTTGGCTTGAAAGGCGGCGGGCGATATGTATTCCATCAAAGAAGGTTGGTGTTATAACGTCTCAAAAACTGAATGCTGTCATTCAAAAAAGAGCTTTAAAGAGGCCTTATCCAACAATTTGACTCATTCTGCAATAATCAGTTTATACAAATTTTGCTTTTGTTGAAACAGAAATTGTTTGAAATTTGCAGTTAAAAGAAATTATGTTCCTGCCTTACACTTATTTACAGTGGTGGGAGGATGTAACTAAGTGCAAGTACTTCGTTACTGTACAAAGTACTTAAGTACATTTTTCATGTATCTGTACTTTACTTAAGTAGAGTTAAACATGGGTACTTTTGACTTTTACTCTACTACATTTTACATTAAGTATCTATACTTTCTACTACACTACATTTCTATAATGTGTTGTGTTACAAGTTACATTCACGTTGCGTCTTTTGATTTGTTCATTAGTTTGAAAGTAACCAATGATGAGATGGGAGTTGGTTCAATGAATCACTGCAAAGTGGCCAGGTAACATTAGACCCACCTTCAAGAAGAGCTGGACCAATGACATATATTTTAGTATATATGTCATTGGGAGCACCCACAGCACCAGTAACACACCCAGAATGGATTCCACCGCAGAGTCAGCCAGAAGATACGCACCACCCATGACCTTATAAAAAGAATATGTCACGGTCAGCGGCCCCCGCTGCCCCCCCCATCTGCCTAAGCCTCTGCTTTCTCCTTCAAGCTGCAACCAGGAACCAACATTTATATCTTCAAACTATCATCCCACAAACTAAATCATTTCCTTCCATTTCTAGGTTCTGTCTCTGTCTGCTCTTTATATTTTTGTTGTTCTGCTCTGTGTGTGATTTTCTGTTTATCTGATTCTGTTATTCTCCACTCACTCCTCAGTCTGCCTCTCCACTCAATCTTTATCATTCACACCTGTCCCTCATCAGCCACCTGCCCAGGTGCTCGCGTTACTCACTCTCCCTCTGTCTCATAAAAAGCCTGTCTCTCCTTCACTTTTTGTCCGGTGATTGTTCTGTGTTTACAGACATCTCAGTCCTCTTCTATCTTGTCTGTTTCTTGTCCACCTGATCATCTGCTTTGCCTTGTTCCTGATCCTGTTGCCCAAGTAAGTTTTGCTGCACCGACAGCTTTTTGTTTTGTTATTGAAATAAATTGTTTTTGTTTTTGAACTCCTGCCTCGCTCGCCTCTCTGCATTTGGGTTCCAACACTGAGGATCGTGACAGAATATTGAAACATTATTGAAAGATTATTGAAAGACTGTTCAGTACAGTGTTCTGTTGTTGGACTTCTGTGCTCATCATGGATTGTCCATAACGAACACCATGTTCAAGCATAAGGGTGTCCATATGTGCTCTTGGCACAGGACGCCCTAGGCCGCAGTTCCATGATAGACTTTGTCATCGTCTCATCTGATCTGTGGCCACATGTCTTGGACACTTGGGTGAAGAGAGGGGTGGAGCTGTCCACTGATCACTACCTGGTGGTGAGTTGGCTCCGATGGTGGGGGAGGATGCCGATCAGACCTGACCGACCCAAACGTGTTGTGAGGGTTTGCTGGGAACGTCTGGCAGAGTCTTCTGTGAGACGGAGTTTTAACTCCCACCTCCGGGAGAACTTCAAACATGTTCCTGGGGAGGTGGGGGGACATTGAGTCCGAGTGGGCCATGTTCCGTGGCTCTATTATCGAGGCGGCTTACCGGAGCTGCGGCTGCAAGGTTGTCGGTGCCTGTCGCGGCGGCAACCCTCGAACCCGGTGGTGGACACCGGTGGTGAGGGATGCTGTTGGGCTGAAGAAGGAGTCCTATCAGGCCTTTTTGGCCTGTGGGACCCTGGAAGCAGCTGATGGGTACCGGCAGTCCAAGCAACATGCGGCTTCGGGTGGTTGCTGAGGCAAAATCTTGGGCATGGAAGGAGTTCGGAGGGGCCATGGAGAATGACTTCCGCACGGCTTCGAGACAATTCTGGTCCACCATCCAGCGTCTCGGGGGGAAAGCAGTACACCACCAACACTGTTTATAGTAGGGGGGGTGTGGCGCTGACCTCAACTCGGGATGTCGTGGGTCGGTGAGCAGAATACTCTGAAGACCTCCTCAATCCCACCGGCACGTCTTCCACTGAGGAAGCGGAGCCTGGGGACTCTGGGTTGGGCCCTCCAATCTCTGGTGCTGAGGTCACTGAGGTGGTTAAAAAGCTCCTCGGTGGCAGGGCCCCAGGGGTGGATGAGATTCTCCCAGAGTTCCTTAAGGCTCTGGATGTTGTAGGGTTGTGTTGACTTACGCGACTCTGCAATATTGCGTGGACATCGGGGGAAGTTCCCCTGGATTGGCAGACTGGGGTGGTGGTCCCCTATTCAAAAAGAGGGACCGTAGAGTGTGTTCCAACTACAGGGGAATCACACTCTTAAGCCTCCCTGGTAAGGTCTATTCGGGGGTTCTGGAGAGGAGGGTTCGTCGGATAGTCGAATCTCAGATTCAGGAGGAGCAGTGCAGTTTTCGTCCTGGTCGTGGAACACTGGACCAGCTCTACACTCTCAACAGGGTCCTGAAGGGTGCATGGGAGTTTGCCCAACCGGTCTACATGTGCTTTGTGGACTTGGAGAGGGCGTTCGACTGCATCCCTTGGGAAACCCTGTGAGGGGTACTCTGGGAGTATGGGGTACCAGGCCCTTTGATACGGGCTGTTGGGTCCCTGTATGACTGGTGCCAGAGCCTGGTCCGCATTGCCAACAGTAAGTCTGGCTTGTTCCCAGTGAGAGTTGGACTCTGCCAAGGTTGCCCTTTGTCACCGATTCTGTTCATAACTTTTATGGACAGAATCTCTAGGCACAGCCAAGGTGTTGAGGGGATCCGTTTTGGTGGCCTTAGGATTGTGTCTCTGCTTTTTGCAGATGATGTGGTCCTATTGGCTTCATCAGATCGTGATCTACAGCATTTGCTGGAGCGGTTCACAGCCGAGTGCGACACGGCCGGGATGAGGATCAGTTCCTCCAAATCCGAGGCCATGGTCTTGAGCCGGAAAAGGGTAGAGTGCCATCTCCGGGTCAGGGAGGAGGTCCTGCCCCAAGTGGAGGAGTTCAAGTATCTTGGGGTCTTGTTCACGAATGAGGGAAAAATGGAACGTGAGATCGATATGCGGATAGGTGCAGCATCCGAAAGAAAGAGATCTCGGATACAAGCGGCCAAAATGAGTTTTCTTCGCAGGGTGTCTGGGCTCTCTCTTAGAGATAGGTTGAGAAGCTCGATCATCCGGGAGGGACTCAGAGTAGAGCCGTTGCTTCTCAACGTCGAGAGGAGCCAGTTGAGGTGGCTTGGGCATCTGGTTAGGATGCCTCCTGTATGCCTCCCTGGTGAGGTGTTCCGGACACATCCCACTGGGAGGAGACCCAGAGGAAGACCCAGGACATGCTGGAGGGACTGTTTCTTGGCTGGCATGGGAACGCCTCGAGATTCCCCCGGAGGAGCTGGCCCAAGTGGCTGGGGAGAAGGAAGTCTGGGCCTCCCTACTTAGGCTGCTACCCCTGCGACCCGACCACGGATAAGTGGAAGAAAATGGATGGATGGATGGATGTTCAGTACAGCAGGACAGCTTGTCTCTCCCAAAAGAGCCAGACTGGACTCAAAAAACTTTGAAAACCAACATCTTCTGAACTTGAACAAGAAATTCTTGCTGCAAAATTAAAATGTGTCAGTTCATGGGATGTTAGGAGACAAGAGATGTATCCAAATGTCTCGACATTCAGGTCCAAGTTTTGAAAATGGTGTCAGGAAGTTAAAATATTGTTCACTATTGACCCATTACAAGGTTGACTAGACATTATTTTAACTAGAGTTGATGACAAACTGGAGTTGAAATGATCAGTCTGTTCCTTTGTTTGGTCTAATGCTCATTTTTCAGTCAGACAACTTTTACTTAAATGTGTTTACTTAAAATGACACATTGGTTTTACTTTGTGTTAAATAAAAACTTTCAAAGGTATAATCATTCCTCTTTCTTATTTTGCTTAATGGCATTTAACTCTGAATGTCATCCCTGAAATTCTGCTGCACAGAATCTCAAGTCCAAGTGTGAACTGTGTCACAGAGTAAACACAATAAAAACATGTATTATCTCCAGCATTGTTCATTAAAATAGCTCAACACTATTAATGTATTACAGAAAATATACATACGGTATGCACACTTAATGATATTGTAGACCATTGCATTAGGTAATACATACAGCAAGTACTTTTACTTTAATACTTTAAGTGTTTTTAAAAGCAAATACTTACTTTTACTCAAGTGAAAACGTTAATGTGGTACTTCTACTTTTACTAGAGTACATTTTTGACTGCTTAATTGTACTTTTTCTTAAGTACAGTGTTTGAGTGCTTTCTCCAGCACTGCTATTATATTCTACCTAGTTCAAACTCACTGCTTAAAATCAAACACCAACACTGTTGTTAAACTATCTTTTACTATCCAACCTTGATCTTATATAAAAAATTTTTTTGGTGACAATTATTACAAATGTTTTTTTTTTCCATTCAAAAACTATACTATATTCTGGTTAAAACAAAAAAAAAGTAAACCTGTTTTAGCAAGATTTTTACCCATTCAGTACTTCAAATGCAGCAAAGGAGCTTGTTTCTATAGGAATTAATTTTTATTGCTCACTTTGTTAAGAAGATTTAATTTATTACAAACAGCACATTCAGGACCTCAATAAATACCAGTGACATGAACTGAGTTGCATCTTTTTATTTGATCAGTAGATCAATATTCAGTACAGAATAAATGACTGTCAGATTATTAGAACGGTAGAAGAAACACTTTAAACATGTTGTTATGAGGAAAGATGAATCTGTCACACCAGTGTGAAGCTTCGTTTTCTGCGAGCAGGTTGCACAGCAGGTGTGGTGCACTCTGTGTGGCCGCAGCCGCACTCCTCCACGTGCATGTAGGAGTAGGAGACGCTGTCCCCATTTAGGCACATCAGGTTGATGGTACGGTGGCTGAATTTTGTTTCCTTACAGCAGGAGCAGGAATGCTCCATCGCAGCTGCTGCTTCAGAGTACCTGTGGAAAACAGGAGCACATGCCTGTAGCGTTCTGTGACTTCCAGGAGGAGTGAGAAGTACAGCTCAAATCATCCTTACTTGGTGAAAGTGTTGCATGAACCTTCACAGTACGGCATTTCCACCTCCTGCTCAGTCTGACAATCACGGTGGTTAATATGGGTTTTCATGGTTATCAACTTGCATGCTTTGTCTTTCTCCACACCTGTGCAAAAATACTTATTATTAGCTTATTTTCATTTGTATATCATTCATGCATCAGAAACAAAAACATAACACTCACAGATTTTACAGCAGCCGTTTGCATCAGTTTGAATTGTGTTCTAAGGAAGAAATATAGAAAGCGTCAACAAAATCTGCTGTAATTTTCCTGTACGCACAAACATTTCAGATTTGTGCGGTAAAATTAATACTTACGGGCAGGCAGTAGCTTTCTTGGAATGGTGGGCAAACAATTTGTGAACTGAAGATGGAAAATATCTCACCACGCTCAACACAAGTGTAATACTTACACATGTTTTCAGGTGGTGACCAGGTTTCTCCTTTCTGAGGAGATAGATGAAGAAACGCACACAAGCAACAGCAAATTTAAAATAAAACAGTACCACTTTACAATAACACTCCCCTTATAGATGACTAATAAATAGTTTATAGATACATTATTAATTCCTCTATAAACACTTTATAAATCATTAATAACCACTTATTATGCATTAATTAAGGGTGACAGAGATAAAACTGACCAGTTTCTTGCCAAGTAGTGAGCCAAATCTGTTCACCTATATATTTCATCTAGAGTTGTTATATTAAAACATTTCAGACTAAGTTACTACCTTGTAGGCACAATAAGTATTTGTAAACTTATTTCTTTAGCATATGATATTGTACTTTATCACTGCATTATAAGTATCAAGAGAGGGGCGCCACAGAAACACTACAAAGACCTCATCAAGGCCTCCCTGAACATGAGCCATATCGACCCCCAAAACTGGTCCACGTTCGCCACTGACCATGACTCCTGGCGGTCAACCATCCACGAGGCGGGGTCGTTTGAGACAGGAAGACATGCTAGCTTGGAGGACAAGCGAAGCAGGAGAAAGAACAGAGCACCCACTCCCACCCCTGACCAGACATTCACTTGCAGCTGCTGTGGCCGAGGCTGCCGCTCCAGAATCAGTCTTATCAGCCACCAGAGGGCCTGCAGTCGTGGACACCTTCATGATCTTTGGAGACTAAGCCAAGCCAGAGATAAGTATCTACAACTAATATTATATCCTAAAAAATAGGTTTACAAATGCTTATTGTGCTTACAAGGTAGTAACTTAGTCTGAACTGTTTTATGTAACAACTCTAAATGAAATATATAGGTGAACAGATTTGGCTCACTATTTGGCAAAAAACTGGTCAGTTTAGTCTCTTTCTCACCCTTAATTAATGCTTAATAAGGATTGAAGGATTCAAGGTTCTTTATTTGTTGTTCCACCACATGTGGTGCATGCGGTGGAATGAAATTGTGTACACAGGGTCCCAGTTACATCCAACAAAAAGTATTGAAATGTAAAAGAAAAAAGTAATAACATCTAAGATATGAACTAAGAAAAAACTTTAATAAAAATACACGAAGCACTAGTAGTATAAAATAGCATAACAGAACAGCAGCATGAACATGAGTCTGTGTGAGCAGATGAGTACGAATGAACACAGCAGCATGAAACAGATCAGCAGCAGCAACATGAAACAGATCAGCAGCAACATGATGTGATTCTTCACAGTGATTATTCTGGTTAGATATTCATGAGTCTAACAGCTTCTGGGTAGAAGCTGTTCCTCAGACTAGTGGTTCTACACTTAATGCTCCTTAATCTCCTTCCTGAGGGGCGCGGGGCAAAAAGTGTGTGTGCTGGGTGAGTGGGGTCCTTCATGATGCAGGTGGCCCTCTTCCTGCATCTAGAGGTGTAGATGTCTGTGATGGTGGGGAGACTGACTCCAACAGACTTCTGTGAAGCCTTATTAATGATTTAAGCAGTTATTAATGATTTATAAAGTGTTTTATAGAGGAATTAATAACATATCTATAAACTATTAGCCATCTATAAGGGGAGCCTTACTGTAAAGTGGTACCAATAAAACATTATTATGTTTTTAATTAATTTCACATTTTTGGATTCAGAACTAACAAAGGCGACACGACTTACATCCAAGAGCTGCTTGGTACCATTTATATCCAGGACACATTGTCTCTGCACACACTTCCCACAGCATTCATCAAGGCTAGTTTCCACGTATTCGTAACCCTGAAACAGAAAGTTTAGTTCTTACATTCAACACACCAAAACACAGATGTCCTGGGTGGCAGATGTGTACAGAAAACAATCCTTCTTACCATGTCACACTTTTCTTCACACAGCTGAAACACGCAGGTTATTTTGAACAGACCAGAATGTGGGTCGACCTGGTTGCTGCAGGTACAATCCTGACATTCATGTGCAGGAACTTTAGAACCGGGCTGAAGAAAGAAAGGAATTGAGTTGGTGCTTGGGATTTTGGTCAGACAACACAGAACCACGTTCAGCAGGATTCATTAAAGGTGATATAAAGAATCTGTTTACCTGGTATTCAACATTCTTGTGGACACAAACACGTTTAGGTTCTAGAAAAGTGCAAGACATAAGCAAAGAGGGTAAATTGAATAATATATATTTTTTAGTTTGTTAAATTTAAGTTCAAACAGAGATAAAGCTCACCACATATATGCTCTGGGCAACATTTCCCCTCTGGGACACTGACAACTGGCTTATATCCAACCGGACAGTTCATGTTGTTAACCGAGCAGGTGTTGATCTGACATTCTGAGGAGAACAACACATTTGTACATTTCCACAATAAACAGTAATTTATAAATGTTAAATAAATAATGATTATATGTCTCTTACGGCAAACAAAGGCAAAACAACAGGGGTCCTTAGGATTTGTTTGGTTCACAACGACAAACCCTGGACCAGTGCAGTTGACAATGGGTGGTGTTGGGCATGTCTTAGGCTTGCAAATCACAGTTTTGGTGAGCTCATCACAAATGCAGTCCTGGCATTTGTACTCGAACCTTTCATTAAACTGAAAGTGTAAACCACAATTGTAAATGAACTGCCTTATACAAGTAAACAATCCTTTTTAAGATCTGAAGACGTCGCTCACCTCACGTGGAATGCCCTCAGGATCAAGACATCCTGTTGGGGAAAGAAACAACTGTTTTGCAGGACTTCATAATCCATAAAATTAATAAATTCATATCAGTTGTACCTGTTCAGGGTATACATCACACTTACCACATTTTTCAACACATATCCCTGATTTTTTGTTAAAGAGTTTCATTCCATCTGGACAAAAGCAGCCCTCAGTGGTGTGGTTTGAAGTTTGTTCATTGGGACTAAGGTAAAATACAAAATAGTACATCCACAGGTTAAATCTATCGGGTATAACCACATAATTATCACCACTTTCCGTTATCAGGAAATGCTCAGTAACATACAATGAGCATAACTATTAAAGCTAATATAATTTTTTGTGAAAACCTACTTGTCTTCACAGGTTGGTTGTTCAATTGGACCACAAGGCTTGTAAACTTTGTCAGATGGGCAGTCACCAGCTGTTGGTGAAGCAAAGAAGTGCAGTTAAATACAACAAAGGTAAAAAAAAAACAACAACTTATTTTCTGATTCCAATGGCACTTTCATTAGTATCAAAATACTGAGGGATAGTTTACCACACAGTTTGGTGTGGTTTCTCCAGTAAATGCAAACTCCAGCCTCAGCACAAACAGCAGCATATGTCTGCAAACTTGTGCACTCCACCACTGGGTTGGCAACATGGCAACTATCAAAAACACATCCTCTGTAGAAATTGTCTGGAGAAACCAGTGGATGACATTGAGCAAAGACACTGAAGGAAAAAGGCAAACAAAAATAAAGTTATTGGGTTTTATCTGCAGTGTGTAAAGAATTCCCAAATACTGTAGCTATGAACCCATTCAGAGGAATAAAGCACGCCCACCTGCTCTTTAGCAGGTCACAGATGGAGTCTGGTTTGCATGGAGTTGGTTCCAGTGGAGGTTCAGGGTTATTGGTGGGTACTGCAGGTGGTGTTGGGCAGTTGGGTTGATAAAGGTCATTAGCTGACCAATAGTCAGCCATCACTGCACATCTTTCCACCAGCTGACCAGATGGCAGCTTGCAGTCATCAGCCTGGTTATTGGTGCATGTTCCTAAAAGTGTGTTAACAATTACGGTCTTACTCCATACTGAAGATTTTTCATATGAGAGAAATTTGAGAGAGACGTTTCTTACCACAATGACCCTGTGTGTTTTTGCCAAAGTGCTGATATGGAAGGAAAACACTAAACCCTGTCATTCCAAATTTAATGACCACATTGAGATGAGGGATCTCAAAAATCAAGTTTATGCCAGAACTCATTATCTTAACACCTTGTTGTGTGTAGGGTAAATTTAAAGTTTTTCCATTTTTCAAGACCTAGAGCAGAAATAAAACATAACACAGCAAGTTAAAAACCATACCGGAGCTATTTTTTTTATTAAAAATAAAGGGATTCATGATTGTATAGTTTCAATTGGTTAATTTTAGTACATTTTTTAGAATATAGTATATGATAAAGAATCAAGTGTGCATGGATGAAGTATAGATTTACCTCCAGGTTTGGAGCTCCAATAAGATTATGATTGATAAGTGTGACAACTTGTATTCCATATGCTATAATGAGCGATCGTGGACAAGAAACATCTTCAGTGGGATCACAAAAGACGTTGTCAATATAAATCTTTAGATTATATTTTGATGTAACTTCCTCCATTAAAACATAGGTACAGTTTCCTTGATAACTGTAGTATAATCCATCAAATGTGATGTAATGAGGATCTCCCCAGCCTTCACACTCACCTAGAAATAAAATAAAACAATACAATATCAAGTACAATTAAATAAACTTTTCACAATCAATGACAAAGCATAGCAAAGCAACAACTTACAGTCACATGCATAATAGTGACAGCAGTAGTATTCATCATACACAAGGACTGCTTCTTTTCCATTGGTACAATTTATGATCTGGGGTGTTGGACACGTATACTCAACAATTTCAATGGTATTGTTCTCGATGCATCGGGCCATAGTGCAGTTGCACAAGAAAAATGTCTCATTTTGCTTTAGGTAAAAAAGAAAGGTATTTATGAACATAATTTGTACATTCAGTTACTATAGTTTGAAAAATAAATGTTTTTTTTGTAAAAATGCTAACATACACAAATACGATTTAACATATTTTATTACTAAATTTCAACTGTATTGAAGCTATTATGCAAGAAACAACAAAAGTCTTACCACAACATCCCACTCAGGACATGTAGGTATGAGTGGTGTGGGTGTAGGAGTTATTGCGGTGCTTGGGCAAATGTCAGTCATGTTGTGAATTTCACAAATATCAGAACATATCATGGTAAGACAAATGCCTGATCCAATGGGATGCATATCAAATATTGTATCCCCTAAAAGTGTAAAAGACAAACAGGTTAGTTCAGAAATGAATACAGAAAACCATTAAAAGGTCAACAATTTGAAAGATGTAAATATATTATAAGACTTTTTGTTTCTTACCTGGACGATAATGATTGTCATCAAAAATACAGAAGCATTCAGTTGTGGAACTTAGTGTAGTTTCTGTTGGTGGTGTTTCTGATATTTTTGTTGTAGTGGATGGAGATGAAGTTTTTGGGGTGCTAGGCTCTGGGGTTGTAGTTAGCTCTGGCGTTGTAGTGGGTGGTGTCGGTGTAAGTGTAGCTTTTGTGGTGGTTGGCTTGGGGGTTGTAGTGGGTGGTGGGGGTGGAAGTGTAGATTTTGTTGTGGTTGGGCCTGAAGATGTAGTAGGTGGTGTGGGAGGAGGTGTAGATTTTATGGTTGTGGTTGGCTCAGGGGTTGTAGTGGGTGGTGTGGGGGAAGGTGTAGATTTTGTGGTTGGCTCTAGGGTTGTAGATGGAGGTGTGGGCAGAAGTGTAGCTTTTGTGGTAGTTGGCTCAGGGGTTGTGCTTGTTGGTGTGGGTAGAGGTGTAGATTTTGTTGTGGTTGGGCCTATAGTTGTAGTGGGTGGTGTCGGTGGAAGTGTAGCTTTTGTGGTGGTTGGTTTGGGGGTTGTAGTCGGTGGTGTTGGAGAAGGTGTAGATTTTGCAGTTGTGGTTGGTTCGGGAGTTGTGGTTGGTG